CAAGTCGTTGATGTATACTAATAAAAGGAGTGGCTCTAGAATAGATCCTTGCGGCACTCCACTATAAATTGGCAGTTGGCTTGAGACCGAGCTGCCGATGCGTACTGTTTGGGTTCGACCGGTCAGGTAACTTTTGATTAGATCCAATATTGGGCCTGTTATTCCAGCTCTGCTGAGTTTTGCGATCGTTATATTGTGATTTACTTTGTCGAAAGCCTTCTGGAAGTCGAGGTAAAATGACGCTAGGAAGTGGCAGTTGCTATTGTCAAAGTTCACAAACATTTTGTGCAGGTATTCGATTAGGTTTGTTATAGATGAGCGTCTTTGCCGAAAACCGTGTTGAGATTGGGACAATGCGGTGGATAAGATTGGGTACATTCTGTCGAAAATAAGTTTCTCGAGGACTTTGGATACTGCTATGAGGAGGCTGATCGGTCTGTAATTCTCTACCATTTGTTTGTTCCCTTCTTTAAGTATGGGGATTATTTCGCTTGTTTTCCAGAATGATGGGAAGAAGCATTTGTTTGCAATTGTGTTGAATATGAGATGCAGTGACTTTGGTAGGGAGTCTGATAATTTTTTCAGCAGGTTGTTCCCCATACGGTCAAGTCCTTTGGCCTTGCTCTCGTCCAGCGATTGGAGAACGAGTTGTATTTCTAGTTCTGAGAAATGAATCATCGACAGCTTGGGCTGTCCCTCTGTGAGAGTATAATCGTGGTGATTCTAACTGAAAACGGATTGGAAGTACTGATTAATTAATTCGGCTTTTTCGATATCGGTATTAGCTGACTTATCGTCAAGAAATACTTCAGTTGGGATTGAGCTTGTTTTCATGATAGTTTTGAGGTATTTTTGGACGTTTGAGAAGATTCCAGACTTGAAAATTTCTGTTTCATGATTGCATTGGTCTGCTGAGAGCGATAAGGACAATTCAGTTTGTAATTGCTGGATCTTTAGGGTATTTGTTTTACTTTGGCGTCTGAGAGTTTCTACTTTTTTCATGAGGTTTGAGCTCGTGGGAGAAACCCAGGGCGCTAGATGTTTCCTATGTTGGGTTGTTCGGGGTATGTGTTTGACTATAATACCGTAGATCCAATTATACCACTGATCTACCAGGAGATCAACGTTGCTGTAGCAGTATGGGTTGAAGTGGTGCTCTCGCACATATTCGTTGATTTCGTTCCAGTTGGCTTTTTTGAAGGCAAAGCCTGAAAAGTCGTACTTTTGGGAGGGTAGAGGGACCCTTTCGTGATTTATTTTGTGATTCATATGTAACTTTGAGCCGTAAGGTGGGTGATCTGAGGTGAAGTCGTTTTTGAGCCGATTGTCCATGTATACGTCTAGTATGATATCAGGATTGTTGCAGAGCAGGATATCCAGGCTCTTTCCAGTATCGGTTATGATGAATTGTTCCAGGTTTAATTCCTGGAAGTTGTCTAGGATGCTTTGTTCGTATTTGCATTTTGATGAGAGTGATTTCCAATTTGTACACGAGAAGTTGATATCTCCAACAATGACAAGATTTTGTATGCCTTGCTCGCGTTGTGTTGCTTTTATTAAGTTCAGCAATGAGTTAAGTTGATCTAGTGACCATCGGTATGGGCTATACACAGGGGCACAATATATACAGCAGACAAGTATTGGTACAGATATCTTGAGTTGAACCATTACGCAGTCTTGCATGCCTGTATCAATGCGGTTATGTGGTATGTTGGCGTTGATGCCAATTAGAACTCCTCCGTGTTTTGATAGACCGGCTTTTGAAGTTCTTTCAGATCGATAGAGTTCAAATTGAGGCAAGAATATGGAGTTGTCTGTTATGTCGTTGGTTAACCATGTTTCGGTTAGGCAAAGTAGTTGGTATTGACAGCTTGTGTTTATCGCATTTGCGAAGTTTGATCTTCGATTGTATTCGAGTATGCTTCGGAAGTTGTAGATGAGTAGGCTATGAAAGAGTTCTAGTCAATTGGAGATTGAGTTCTCCGTTTTTTCGGTTGCAACTGCTGTCCATCTGTTTTCTATTTTCTGGTAGCGTTTTCCATCGCGGATGCGCAGGTTTTGTTTATCGATGTTTTCGCTTATGAGCTCCCGCCGTTTTTGCAGTGCTTGATTTTCGAGTTTTGCTTCATCCACTGATAGCTCGCGGCTGACAAACACAGGTTTGTCATATGTTTTTAGGCGGCAAGCGGATGATAGTATTAGTCGTTTCTGCCAAATTGGGACTTTTACCAGTATGGTTCGGTCCTTGCCTTCCTGTCGTTGACCCATCCGGAACAGATCAACTATCTCTGGCACAATTTGCATGTGCTCCAAGATTTCCTTTACTTGTTGGAGGTCATTTTCTTGTCTTTTTCTTTGATCTTTGTCGTTTAGTTCAGGGATGCCGCGGATGCGGATTCCGTTTTGATTTTCTTGTTTCGGCGTTGCGTTTATCGGTACCTTGGTTTTTGCTTCTGATTTGATCTCATTTGGCTTCATTGTGGTTTGGGAGAACAGCGTTTTAATCTCCTGTACGTTCTTTCTGAGTTCGTCCATGTCCTCTTCAATCTTCTTGAATTGCTTCGGCGAGGTTTGTTCAGCGTCACTGACTGCTTTTCGGAGTCTCTCATATCCGTTGGAATCCACACATTTGTTGCAGAGTAGAGCAATGTTTTTTCCCAGTGTCGTAATACCATTGATTGCTGTATCGCTTAGGCTGGTACAGCTTTTCGTCAGGTGCATTTTGCAATTACACACGATGCAACAGAAAGTATCTTCATTCTTTTTGGTTTGTTGGCAAGTTTCGCATACGGAATCAGTGGTCATTTCACGATTTCGTGTCATATTTGTTTGGTGAGGACTCCGAGTCAAAAGACTCAAAGAGTACACTCAGTTATATACTAATGTAGTAAAACTAGAAAGGTGACTCCGAGTCAAAGGACTCAAAGAGTACAACCAGTACGAGTTTTATTAACCGTTTTATTGTGGGGTTGCTGAGCGTTGCCTCTTCTTGGCTCTTCGTCGATTCTTCGATGGTTTGCTTTTCTTGGAGCGGGTTTTGAAGATCGCGTGAAGGTTCGGATAGTAGTGCAAGACTACCGAGAGAGATCGTAGTTCTAGATCAGATGACTGGTGAAGCTCGCGATAAAGTCCTGTGATGTTTTCGTCTAGACTCTCTGATTTACTGATAAGATGTTTTGTAACGTCGATGACAATCGTGTCAAGAGTTCGTAGCTCGTCGAATATATTTTCTGCTCCCGTACGCTGACAGTAGACAATAGCAAACAGATTGTTAAAGCTTCTGAGAGTATCCAGGAGTTGCTGAGTCGTAAGGGGTTTGATCTTTTTAAACTCTGTGATCGAATTGTTGATAAGATCGTGCCACAGTATAATAGATTTGCTCGTTGCTCGTATCTAATCGGTAACGTTTTTAAATTTAAAGTTCGTCCTTGGGTTCAGGTTAAATCCCCCCTCGGCGTAGACAATTTGCTTTACTATATTTTTCTGTTCAGGGGTTAGACCTTGTTCGATTGAGTGAGAAAGGGAACTTGCGGCTATGATTTCTAACATAGAGATAAAAATAAGGAAATAAGGAAAGAACTCAGCTGGTACTGGAGATGGAGAAAATAAGGAAGAAGCTGTTTCCCCAGAGACCAGGTTTGTTGAATTTGGTGTAGTGATAATCAGTAGTTAGAAATAGAGGGCCACCACGGCTGCCCTGTTATTCTTTTTTAACTGAAAATATCTATTTAGTAAGTTTATCTCCCGAACCCTGGATTTTCGGAGGCCGAAGTAAGGTTTCTTTTAATTCGAAAGAGACCATTCATTGCCTTTTTGGAACGTATTTAAACATTTTCAGACCAGTTAAGGTTTTGATATACAATGAGCCCTAGATCACGTTGGGATTCCACTGGCTCCAGAGGACTGTCCATGAGATTGGCTTTTAGAGCTCCTTTAATGTTTACAATATGAAACTACTTTGTATTTGGTGTCATCTTATTTTCAGAAAGCCATTTTTCAATGTTTTCTGTTGCTTTGTTCATTTCACCGTGGCGCTGGATTATTGCTTTAAAGCCATCTGCGTACCCGTAACAAGAAATTTTTTTCACCGTTTCAGGTAAATCATTGATGAAGAGGAGGAATAATAGTGGTCCATTGATAGACCCTTGGGGTACTCCGCTGGTGACAATTTTTTGGCGGGACCTTTTCTGATTGATTTGAACATGTTGTCTCTCATATAAGTATGAGTTGATAGGCCTATGACACTTCCGCCTAGTCCTTGCTCTTCAAGTTTGAGCAGTAATTTATCATGTGGGCGGTGTCAAAGGCTTTTGTAAAATTGAGATATAGCACGCTGAGTTCTTTCGTCGATTCGAAATCATTGTATTTATATAATTTATCAAGAAAATATATTTACTGTAGTGTGGCCGATCGCTTTTTCCGAAAACCGTATTGAATAGGGTGGATTCTTGTCCAGAAAAAGTTCGAAATTTCATCAAAGATTAGTTTTTCAAAGATTTTAGAACAGCAACAAAGTAACGTCTGCTTCATCTTCTTTGAAAATTGGTGTAACTTAACTAATTTTCCAAAATGTCGGAAAATACCTTCTATTCGAGAAAGTTTGAAAAATTAGTTTCATGGATTTACAAAGAGTGTGATAGTATTTTTTCAGAATTAGATTTCCAATGTTATCTGGTCCGGTTGATTTGTCCGCATTTAAGTGGCGCATAATGTCACTTAATTGTTTATCAGATATTTTTAAATCGTTCAATCCGCCTCGTGTGCCCGTTGGAATCGGTGTTTTACTTTGGCCGAACACTGATATGAAGTAATCGTTCAGTAACTCAGCTTTACCGCAGGCTTCGTTGCTTTCTAGCTTTCCAGATTTCACCAGGAGCTTTCCGTATGTATTTTAGATATTTTTATATTTTGCTGAATGTTCTAACTTCAAAAACGGTTTTCTCAAATTCAGATAGGTCGTTCTCAGATGATTTTTCAATTTGTTTTTCAAATCCTTTCAGTTTAATAAGTTTACTGAGTTTTATGTTTGCTGTTATCGGATTGTATTTGCTCTTTTCATCAGGTTAGATGTAAAACTAGAGATCCAAGGAGGTAGTTTTGATCGGTGTTTTGTAATTCTTTGTACACAAAGGTCAATTTTGTCCCACAGCCATTTGTACCATTGATTTAGCAATACGCTTGGATTGCTATAGCATTACGGATTAAAGGGCATGTAAATAATGCTTTGATTCAATTTCTCCCAATCGGCCTTTTTAAATGCGTATTTAACCATTGATGCTCCGAATTCCATTTTGGGGGTATTTGGACATAAAAATGGTTTTAATTGGTCTATGATTCGAGAAGTTTTCGTTAAAACAAATTTGGTTTGCAAGATTTTCATCGTAAACGCAAGTAATGATGGACTCTGTATTATTACAAAAAAACAACATCCAATTGTTCATTTGTTAGATTACGGAAGTTATATTCGACCAGTTTGGTGAGAAGTTCTGTTTGGTACAAGTTGTTTGAAGACATAGAGTTCCAGTTTGTTTGAGAAAAGTTAACATCATCCGTAATTATGGCATATTTACATTCAAGTTCAATAGCCTTTCGGTTGATTTTTTCAGTTATTAAATTAAAGTCTGAAACATTCCATTGGTATTGACTAGGAAATGGGGCATTATAGACGCAGCATTTAAGTATTTCATTTCCTTTTATTGACAGTTTTATGGTTTTGTAATCTTGGTGATTGAGATACATTTGGACGTGCTTATGGGAAATTTCATTTTTGATCGCAATGAAGACTCCACCAAGTTTTGTCTTATTGTCCATCGATAACTGTCTGTCACTTCGGTCATACCTGTTATTTTTTAAGAAAAAGTGCGTTGTTTGTAATGCCTGATGTTAGCCAGGGCTGTGTTATACATACGATGTCGTAGTCAAAGGAATTCAAAGTGTTAGCAAATTTTGTGCGACGGTTTAATTTTAGGATACTTTGAATATTGTGTGAGCAATGTCAGTGTTGACTGCTATTTCTCATTTCTGGTTTCGTTTAATTTTTCATTCGGTTTTCTAGGGAGCTTTCTTCGAATGAAACCTAGTTTCTTTTTACACAGATTTCCACACAGAAATTTTTTATTCTTATATCTTTCGTGTTTAAGTTATTGTTGTTATCATCAATTGGTGGTCTACGCTTTTTGAGGCATTCGTTTTTTTTTGGTATTGGTGCTGTTTAATTCTGGGTTGATATAGACCGCTTGATTGTATTCTTTTAATTTATAGGCTGATCTTAAAATCATGTCTCGGCTTATAGGGTTTTCGGTCTTCATCAATAATGTTCGCGGTTTCTCTTTATCTTATTCATATTAACCGAGTCGTTGTGCTCTTTTTTCTATCTTCCACTCTGAGGAATTGGAGCAAAGTTTCTATTACTTTGAGATCGGCGTAAAGTCTATCATCGGCCGTGTCAGTGTCTTACCTCGAATGCCTAAAGTTGTTTTTTTTCAGGAGTTTCATCAGATTTTCCGGGTTTCACTTTTCATAACGATTGCTTGTATGATTTAGTGTCATTTTTCACGTCTGTGACTTCATGTTGCACACTACTCATTAATTTGTTTGATTTTTCAACTTTTTCGGTCAGTGTTTGCATTTGTTCCTGAAGTTTTTTCATTTGATCATTCGTTTCTTCTTGGAACTTTCCCGGTTGTTGATCTAACTGATCATTTACATGTTCGGTTTCGACGTTGGTCAAGAAAGTTTATTTTTTTCGATTTGCAGTTATTGCAGATGTGTAAGAGATTGTCCTTCAATATTATGATAACATCAATGCATTCCTGATCAAACTCGATACACTCTGGACTAAGGTGGAGTGATTTTGTGCAGATACCATAAAGGAAATTGTTATCGTTTTTTATTTTTTGATTGCAGGTTGCGCAGTTTTCTCGAGTCATTTTGCTATGTGCTATGTCATTTTGCTATGAAAATTCCTCTAGAAAGTTTGTTTTCGAACTTTGAGCCGGTGGAACCTGAAGGGAAATTTGGCTTAGTCCAAATATCAAAATTTCTTTTCGCGGTGGAACCTGAAGGGAACTTTGAGAATCATAATAATCTGGTATATAATAGGATACATTTACAACTTGATAACCCCCAAAAAAAACGCACGATCACTATTTCCAATGGCAGTTGATTATAGGGCAGTCTATTTCTCCGATATTTCCTTTATCGTTGAATTCTTTGCTGTAATTCTTGTACAAAATTTTTTCCTTAACCAAGTTTTTGAGATTTTTTAGACCGTTGTTGTTTAAATGATACAGTCTTTCTTGCTGAAGTATCGTTCTCCAGACAGATAGTTTGCAACACCTCTGTATTTTCAATTGACTGGCACGTTCATACTCGGCTTTCGCTCGCTAGTCGCTTGAAGAATGTCGCTGACACCTTTCTATCGGGTTTTATTTTCGTCACATTCAGGAATTGCTAGAACAAAGACAGTCTTGGCTCGTTCACAGAGAAAGTTCGCAAGATCGATAACTTGGTCAGCTACTAAACGCAAAAGGGTATCAATTGGCGTTGTATAGTAGTAAAGGTTGTTACCACCAATGAAGAGGATTATTGCATCAAACAGGTCTTTCGGGGGAAGATAGTCGTAAAAGTGATTTGCACTTGCACCAGGTAGCGATAGGATTTTCAGGTTTCCAGCTTGCAGGTACCTCGCTTGCGAGTCAGCAATTAGGATATACTTTGAGGATGAGGTTTTGATGAGATGATATCTGCTTCTTGGGATAGGCATGCAAAATCTTCTCACTAAAGTCCCTCCATTGAGGGCCTTCCACACAAGATTTGTTGATTCAAATCATATAAAACTAATATTTTTTGGATCATCTTATTAACTTATGAGAGAGTCGATTTACATTTTCTAATCATACCTGAAAAGATGACCTTTTAAAGCTCCCAAGTGTTATTCAATTTTGAGATATCACAGGTTTTTGAACTAACTATAACTAAAAAAGGTCCATTTTTTGTTGACTGTAGTAGAATTGTGAATTTGAAAGAGGCCCGTATTTCGCGAGGTTTGAATCACTCTTAAAATTTAAACATAGTTTATTATATGTGCATGCTTAAGCTATCCTTCATTAGCATGGCTACTTTTAGCATGTAGGTGTAAGTACTAGTGCTATTCACCGAGAAAGTTTTGTGCCTAGGATTTTTTTCAATATCCTGTTTCAGTTCTGGAGACCCATCCTTTTTCCTGAGTTTTTATTTGAAAAATTGGCTAAATAACGGCAGTAAATTGTTTAGAATGCGAATCATGCCTGAAATAGTGAACCCATCGAATCCGTAGTTTTCTCGATATCATAGTTTTTCAAACAAAAATCAAAATGTCTACAAACAAGGGAATTTACTTGATTGTTTCTGAAATTAATTTTTATGAGTTCATTGTTAATTGTTGACAAACGATCTTTTAGAGATTTATCATTATGACTGGAAAAGATCTTCTCTCAATTCCGTTGAGTTTCGAAGTTTCGCTATTTGAAATTGAAATTTACTGGATCTTTGCTGACTGATAAAATAAGGAGTAAGTTTCTCAATATGAAGTTGTTTCTCAATACGGTAAATTTTTCAACATGTTTTTGAATAGAAAATGAGTCCAAATCGCGTTATATTTAGGCTGCTTGATTTTTATTATCTATTAAGGCTAGCGTCAAATTATTAAACAGAATGAAGGCAAATTTAGCTCTCCGATTACAAAACAATTGGTACTGAAAATAACCTTTTTTTTTGGTTTTTTGCACATGCAACGCTTGTAATATCCTACACGATCTGTTCAATTTTTACAAACGAAAACGCTAATTTCTATGTTGAGTTTGTCTTTTTTTTGTGAGTGTTCTCTTAACTTTAATTAGGCAATTGGCAGGAGCTACGTCTCCGTTGAACTAAAGTACAGTAACTGCTGCAGTTATTGTTCCAACTTAGCTTTGAGTAGTTTTATTCACACCAATATCGTTTCTCGCAAATTTTCAACGTGATTCATTGTTGAATCTTTACGACTCAAGGTTCATTCTCAATTGGCCTAGAGGTAATGATGTTGCCTGTGTACCCTAAGGTCTGGGGTTTGAGTCCCAGCCGAACCTTGTTTTTTTCAGTATGTGTGCAATTGGACTTTTTTCCGGTATAAATTGAATGGTCGAACTTTCGTTGGTCGGCTCAAATTTTATCTGCTTAGTTGTCACATCACGCATTTAGCTTGAACTGCAATCAATTTTCATGGTAGCTGCAGGTGTAAGTGTTGTTCATTGAAGTTTCAGGAGGGGCTCAAAACTTTAAAAAAAAAACTTTTTTGAATCATTTTTTCCGGCTCAAGTTGTGTGTGCTCAAAGATTATCGGCTGGTTTTCTCTTTATAAGTTTTGTATCCGTTCTAAATTAAATATTCAAATGTCTGAAATGGATGCCTAGAATGAACTTCTATCGAGATATACGAAAATTGAAGTTTTGAAAGGCCTCGTTTTTTTCAAATTCTTTCATTTTTTATGTTTGTGGTGTACCGCAAGTGGTTCGAAGCTCCACTTCGTCTCTGTGTCAGAACGGTTTTTTTTGCTGCTCAAAGAAACAAAAAATTTTGGTTTTGGCAAGAAACCAGCATGAGTTTCACCAACTTTCGTTTTATCGCTGATCTGAACCAAGTCCTTGATTTTTGAAATATGACAAATTTTCTTTGTGAATATCCATATAAATATTTTGCTATAGTGGACACTTTTTCGCCCATATGACTGTGGTTGACATAGAACTTGATTTGCAATTTGTGCGACAATTGGCTGTTGTTGCTCGAAAAGTTAGAAGAGACGTGTTTGAATGTATGTTCAATTCAACTCAATATGTTGAAGCTCTTCAGTCGCTATTCTACTTTTAAATGAAAGTTATAAAAAGAATCTTGACGAGGAAACCCCAGTTAAATCTATTTTGATGGGATTGTATGGTTTGCTTGATTTGCTTATTTTCATTGGCGACGTTCTGAAGCAAATGACCCGGCTGCTCTCATTAAATGTTAGGCTGTATTTTTACTCACTTATTGGTGATTGTTTGCGGAATACACTTCCGGCAGCCGACCACAATCGTTTAAAAGATTTTTTTTCCCACTTTTGTTTCGTTTCGCACTATGCTACATGGTAACTACAGTGGTCATTTAAATTATCCGGACAAAGCGAACAAAATTTGAAATTTCAAAGGAGTTTTTCTCAAATTGGGTTAAGATGAGACAGAAAGTTAACAACAAAAGTTTCTTCAATTTCCACCAGAATTAATTTGGTGCATTTTTCCCCGAAATTCTGAATCTAAATTTTATACCAAAAATAGGTCATTGTGGCGTTTTTAGACCCGAATTACGCTAAAACTACTGAGTTATCGATCAGAAATGTCTATCGAAAGAAGCCTCTTACGCAGCTCAACAATTTTTCACAAGAATTTTTTTCAGCCCAAGAATTTTGTTTGAATATAGTATAAATGACCTTTTATGACTCGCAACTAAAATTATATTCTCTTATAAACTTTTTTATAAGATTTATCCTTGTAAAACTTTGTTAGGCTGTGTGAGAGGCCTCTATTGATATAATTTTCTCGTCAGATAACTTAATAGTTATAGCGTATTTTTTGATTGTCTGAAAAAAGCCAAAAATGCCTATTTTTGGTGTAAAATTTTGGTTCAGAATTTCTGGGGAAAATTGCACCATATTAATTCTGGTGAAATTCTAAGAAGTTTTGTTCTGTTCACTTTTTGTCTATTCTTTGAGAAAAATGCGTTTGAAATTTCCGATTTTGTTTGTTTTGTCCGGATAAATTAAATCAGCACTGTACATTGCTGAGCATATAAAAATCCTATAAGAAATTTACCCCAAAAATAGGTCTTTTTGGTTTTTCGCAATCAAGAATTACGCTAAAACTCCCTAGTTATCTGAGTAGAAAGTTATATCAAGAGAAGCCTCTTACGCAGCCGAGCAAAGTTTTACAAGGATAAAATTTTCAAAAATTTGCGTAAAATGTTTGAAATTTGTTTTCAGTCAAAGATTTTGATTTGTATACAGTAAAATGACCTTTTTTGACCATCAACTAAAAATATATTCTTTTATAAAGATTTTCATAAGTTTTATCCTTGTAAAATTTTGTTGGGCTGTGTCAGAGGCTTTTTTGACCTAAATTTCTCATCAGATAACTTGGTGATTTTAGCGTAATTCGTGTTTTTCTGAAAAAAGCCAAAATGGCATATTTTTGGGGTAATATTTTGGTTCAGAATTTCGGGGGAAAATTGCACCATGGTAATTCTGTTGAAAATCGAGGACACTTTTGTTCTGCTCTATTTTTGTCTAATCTTTGAGAAAAAATTGTTTGAAATTTCAAATTTTGTTCGTTTTGTCCGGATAATTTAAATCAGCACTATACATTGCTGAGCACTCAAAAGTCTTAATTTCGATAGGGAGGGAGGATATGTTTTGCAGGTTTTAGATCTACCATGAAATAGGTGTAATAATATGGTTGTATCTTTTTTTAAAAGAAATCCTAGGATGGCAGATAGTTAAAGAGCTCCTTTTTGTTCCGACTTTTGTGTGGTGAAAATAACAGAGTATTTGTTCTCGAGTGGTTTTTTCTTCAGATAAATTTCGACTTTTTAACTAACCATTTTTGACGGATTTTTTAAATATCATTCAGTAGGTTTTGTTCTCCTGAGCTTTAATTTGAAAAGATATTTTAGCTGTGATCATTTCTCGTAAAGTTATCGGGGCCTAAAATTTGCCATTTTGGTCAATTTAGGACAATTAACGCGCGATATGATTTCCCATAACATCGAATATAAAAAAAATTGTTTTATTTTATTACATATAATTTTTTCATGTTATTACTGATTCATAGAACTCAAAAGGCAGTCGGAACATTCAGGGCTTCGCCGTGATATGAGCAGTCTTCCTTCGTTTTGCAGTCTAAATCTGATTTTTGTCGTCGACTGATGGATCGATATCTTAAGTTTTTGATTGGCATTGAGGGTGGTTGTCTGTAGCGTCAATTAGTCATTGTAATGCTATCCTTTTGTTCTTTTGTATTCTATGGATGGTAAATTGACTTTTATGCCGGAAAACAACTCGGTCGCGACAAGTGCTGGGCTCCCGTGGATTATACTTCCCATGGCTGTGACGTAATTTATTCACTATATCGATTTGTGGTCATCTGTTTTCAACGTCAATAGGCTAATGTACTCTGAAGTTATAATTCTGGTTTAGCAGTTTGCTTTTTATTCCGTTATGTGACTGAATTCTTTTATCCATTGCCAATCCTTTCTCTTTTTCGCTCTAGTTGGTGTTTTTGTTTTGTTTTGCAGTCCAAATTGTGATTTCTCCTAAGACGGTGTTAGACATCCAAGTATCTTAATTACAGATTGCACAAACAGCAGGGTGACCTAAAAGCGCAGATTCATCTTCACTGATTCAGATGTTGTACCACGAGCTATTTTAGATTTAATCGTAGCATGTCTCATAAACTGAAAATGTGAAAGATATGTAAGTGACTCATTCGATTTATTGGGACCCTGAAGTGCCTTTTGCATTATCGCCGAGCACCTGAATTGTGGTCAACAAGAATTGAAAAGAACTAAGCTGCAGTAGCCACTGAATAAATATGACTTTCTTTTCATTGACAGACCAGTGTTGATTTCTATTTTAATCGTATCTCATTTTATGGCCAAATTTGACGTGAACTATTTCGAGCCTAGGCTTCAAACATTTGACGTGTTGCGCTCGTTCGAATTGTAATGGATTAAATCCGCCTCTCTTTGGCAAAATTCAGATGTTTATTAAATTTAATTCGTGTTACCAGGCTTTGTTTTGTTTTGGCTTTACCTGTTACATTGTTGATTACCTTTTCCACAGTCTGAAATTTATTAAACAACGTAGAAATACAGAGTTTAGACCACGCTTTGTTGAATTGTAAGTTGTGTACTTGAGTTCACTGCTAGACACGGGAGGACGGCTAGTGCACCCCGTGTACAGTTTGTGAACAGAATAATTTGGGAAATAATTGCGCCACTGGAAAGGACGTTTCAATTCCTTTGTATATTTGCTAAGAATCAGATCATAGAAAATTTCACTTTAATACTAAAAGAGGATTAGCCGCTGATTCGTTTCCGCTTTTTCAAGTCTTTTCCTGTTTTCTGACCAATTGGTTTCTGATTTTGGCAGTTACTCTGTCAGAAGAAACGCTACGCTTTTCTCTTGTTTCAGCAAGTAGCACAAAACCAATATCGCGATTTCATTTCAAGTCTTTTATTTAATTGTTTTTATCGCCGTTTCCCTTTTATTTTTCTCTCGCCATTTTCCAAATTTAATCTGATCCGTCTCTTTACTTTCAGAAATTTGTTTGAAAAGGTGCAACAAGCAAAGACATTCTAATCGCCGTGTGGCATTTTCCTCTTCGCAACAAAGACAAGCTTTTCATGAAGTCACATGGGAAATGCACCTTACCTACGGCCAACGAGATATTAAACAATAAAAGCATTTACAACGACACATAATCAATTAGCATATATTAGATAGAACCGCCGGATTTATTACATACCAGCCTTAACAGTGATGAAGATTCGACACTCGGCCCTAATAGGGTCTGTATTCAGCTGCTGCAAAGATACAGGAGCTGACAAAATAGACGGGGGAATAGAGCACAACCCGAGAAGACAGTCCCGCTCGGGCAGTCTGGGTGGATTGTTGGATGGGTCTAAGATGTCGGCTGGTGCTACTCTGGTGATTGGGGATCCTATTTCCCAACCCAAGAGTGGAGACGCCATGTTGTTGAGTAGCCAAGTGGCAGATACGGAGCCGATGCCGTCTGAGGACGAAGTAGAGGTCAGTGGCATACTCGCTTCATTCAGTGAGATTTAGATTGGCTCGATTTATTTCAATTTTGCTTGAATGATTTTAACATAACGAAGTTCCAATTTTCAAAACGAAGATCCATTAAGCTCAATGCTCGAATCTGGGGGAAAAGATTACAGTTGTAATGGTTGAATTTTTTTTTGTTAGAGCATTGAAATAGGGGAGGAACTTTTTTTTCGGGTGTTTTAATTTCTTTGTTTTCCACGCAAAATCAGGTCTCACAAAAAATCTTCGGAATGGGTCGAGTGAAATATCTTGTTGAATCCCTTTTAGTCGTGATCCGAACGACATCAGAAACTTTTCCAGTATCGAGAAAAACCGCTCGAGTTCAATTTTGAGCGTTTGAGCAGGCTTACAATATCATTTTTTTGCTCAGTTTAAGACCTGCAAACTTATTTTTACACTAGTAAAATTAGTTTTAGGAAATTTTAGCGCCATGTTGGGAATCAACAACTTCAAAATAATTCAAATTTTTTCTGCAAAAAAATGAAAAAAAATATTTGAAATAATTTTTTGTTTTTCTAGTCATTTTTCTTCAAAAACTTGTCTAATTTGCTTATATTAAAATACTTGATTCTACTATAAAGAAAACTAGTTTTTGATGTTTAATATAGCGCTTAATTGGCAAAAAAAGATCTAAAAAGTTTAAAATTTTCATTATTTTTTAAATTGTTTTGTTTTAGACAAATGTTGTCGATCATGCCTAATTCACTAATTTTCTATGCGATTGGATAGTTCTCAAATCACACCGCGCTTTAAAAACGACACTAATTTTAAGGCACTTGATTTTATTTGAAATTGAAGAAAATTGATTCATCCTCGTTTTGATTCATCCAACCGGCTATCCTCGTTTTATTAATACGATTGTTGAAAAATTTATTACGATTCAATTTATTTCAACTAAAATTCGTTTGTTTTAGGAGAGGTTTGCGTCCATTCTAGACGAAGTGGGAACCACTAAAGAGGCGAGACAGAGGATGCTGGGACTGCCCACGAACAAGAAGTGGGAGTTGTATCTGCAGATGCGCGAACAGGTCAGACGTTGAACCTTTTAACAGCTAATGGTTGACAAAATTTAGACAAAAAGTGCAAAAGCATCGATTGTGCTGATGAGCGGTAATTAATTTTCAGACGGCTATAAACAATTTTGGTTTGTAAAGGATCTGAAACGCCAAAATGTGCTGTTTTATGTTTTTTCACAATTTTTTTTGTTTAAAAATCAAGAGAATTGTTTTTAACATTACAACAAGGGTAGCTTGTTTATATGCAAATAGCGCAGTACTTTCTGTGACCAAAATCAGGGGTGGATTTAGGGGAGGGGCAGCTACCCTTGTTGCTATGATAAAAACATTTCTCTTGATTTTTAAACAAAAAAATTTGATATTATTTTATGACATCCATTTTGGGCTGACTAACCCTGAATGTTTCCAAAGGCGCTTTCAGCGCCAATATATACCAATTTTGAAGGAATTGCAAAAAAATACCAGCAAAAAATTTCAAAAAAATGGTCTATTTCAACTCAGAAAATTTAATTTAGACGACCTGAAAAAGGTCCAAAAATTTTTTGAAAATCCCCCCCTCGAGAAAATCCTAGAGATCCGCCCCTTACCAAAATGAATGACGTAAAAAATTCAAACACAAAATTTTGTTAATTTGCTGTTAATTTTGTTTATGAAAAGGGTGATTGAGTTGGTTAAAAACCGGGAATGAAGCTTATTCCATAGCTAAACCAACCAATAGGAATATAATTGAAAGTAATCATAATCATTTTGATCAAGTTCTCTGTCCTCAAGCTGGTTTGAAAATGGAAAATTATCAGATCAGAAATTCGGGAGTGTTTTAGTTTTTTCTTTTTTGTTTTCCGCATACGAATTTTTTTTAGTGTCGAGAAAAACCGGTTTGAATTTTTCGATTTTTGGTCTAATTTCGAGCTGATAAGGTCAGCGTGCAGGCTCACAATAGCTTATGTAAGCCGTGGAAATTTCATTTTTTCTCGAGCAAAGTTAATTTTTTAGCGCCATTTTGGCAATCAAACTTTTCAAATTCTACAGAAAAAATAGTCTTTTATCACACCACAGAAAAAACGTCAGTAATTTGAAAAAGAAATGTATTTTTTAAGCCTATGGTCCGTTCTGGGCTGTTTACGCAGTAACCGGCCATCATTGTTTTTTTTTCGCTGAAAGTTGATTTAAACATTTTAGTCTGTTTAGGAAAGCAGTGGAAATAAAGACCATCCCGAAGTGTACATCTCAAGGCTGAACATGTTCAACAGACAAGTCACTCTCTTCGATGACGACATCGAGGAGAAGCGCAAGTTCTTTGAGCGACTCAAGACTGCTCTCAGAACCTCATCCACTAGTTTCGTGCTCCAGTTCCTAGAAAAGGACGGACTCATCAGTCTCATGACCTTCTTGCAGTCCATGGACTCAATTATGAAATCAAGTGCAGTACATACTTTAATATTGGGCTGCATAAAAGCAATTATGAATGTCCCAGAAGGTCGCAAACGAGTCCTGGAAAATCAGAAAGCAGTTAATATTGTATCGCAAGCGATAATTGTACCCAATCTAAGAACCAAAACTTCAGCATTGGAGCTTTTGGGAGCGCTTTGTCTAGTCCCAGGCGGACACAGGAAAGTGTTAATTGCCATGAATTATCTAGCTCAGTACGCCAATGAGCGTGTTAGATTCCAATCCCTAATTAGCGATTTGTGTAAACAGGACGAAGCTGTAGACCAGGACTTACATTACAAAACGGCAGTTCTATCATTTATTAACGCTGCTTTGAAGTATGGAGCTGGGGATAACAGTCTGGAGTTCAGACTGCACCTTAGATACGAGTTTCTCATGCTTGGTTTGACCCCAGTACTAGAAAGCTTGAGAGAACTAGAAAGTGAGTCTATTTTGAAACACATCGAATTCTTCGAGAGGTTCAGACTTGACGACGAAGAAGCGATTGCCAAAAGGTTTCAAGTTGATCACATCGACTGTAAAGACGAAGAAGCGATGCTAAGCGTGATCAGAAACAAATTGTACGCCTCTGAAGCATATCCTGATTTCCTTTCGCTTATGATGCACCTGTGCCTGATGCCTTTCGGAAGTGCAAGAAATGTTTGCTACTGGAGAATACTTAGCAAGTTCACGCAACAAATTGTTCTACAAAAAGAAGACGGCTCCAATCCGGATATCGAAGTTGCCAAAATGAACTTCGCGGACCTTTTGGACCATCTGAAGGCAGAAATTGGCGAATCGACGTTGGAAAAGAGAATCAAAGATCTTCAATCGCAGTGCGATGAACTGAAGATAGCTTTAAAAGAAGCTGACGAGATGAAAGGAACGGGAAAAGCGACAACTCCGGTAGTTGGATGTTCATGTGGAGGATCCGGAAAATCAGAAGCTGCACCAACTACACCAGGTCCGCCTCCTCCGCCACCTGCGCCGGTCGGAGCACCGGCTCCACCACCACCACCTCCACCTATCAAAGGTGGGGGACCGTCGCCCCCTCCGCCTCCAGTTCCGGGGCTTGGACCTCCAGGAGGACCACCAGCACCACCTCCTCCGGGCGGTTTCGGCATCGCAGCACCTCGACAGAAAAATATCCCCAAGTCTGCAAATCCTCTGAAGTCACTAAATTGGTCGAAAATTCCAGAAAACAAAATATCGGGAACTATTTGGTCGGAAGTCAACGATGAGAAAGTGTTTAAAACTTTAGACCTCGCTGATTTTGAACGACAGTTCTCGGCGTTCCAGAAACCAGATGAAGATTTCCTTACAGAACGTAAGTTTATGACAACGAAAAGTAAAGAATTGTCACTTATCGATGGTCGCAGGTCACAGAACTGTATCATACTGCTTTCCAAATTGAAACTCACAAATGATGAACTACTAGTAGTAATTCTAAAAATGGATACAGATAATCAGATTCCTAATGACTTGCTGGATGAAATTCTTAAGTATACGCCAACAAATGAGGAAATATCACTACTTCAAGATCACAAATCACAGTACTCTGAAATGGCAAGGGCAGATCAGTACTTTTTTGATTTGGGTCAGTTAGGTCACTGTAACGAAAGATTGGCGTGTTTGGTGTTCAAAAAACGATTCTTCGAACGTGTAAAGGAAATCACACCTAATCTGGATTACGTAATAGAAAGCTCAAAGCGAATCAGATTCAGTAAGAAGCTGCAGAAGTTTCTTGAATATATCCTAGCTTTCGGAAACTACATGAACAAAGGTGCTAGAGGAAATGCCTACGGGTTCAAACTTGAAGGTCTAACAAAGGTAGTTGATACTAAGTCAAGTATAGACAAATCAGTCACTTTATTGCATTACATAATCGATGTGTGTGGCAAAAAATCTCCCGAAATTCTCGATCTATCACAGGAACTGCAGAGTGTAAAGAAAGCTTCGAAAGTACATCTAACAGAACTAGAAAAGGAGATGAACTCACTGCGCGGTGGAATCAAACAAGCTGAAAAAGAGTTGGAGTACCACAAGAAGAACCCAAGCAAAAATAGCCAAGATAAGTTTGTGAGTGAAGTGTCCATCTTTTTGGACAGCGCTCATCAACAATTTGGAGAATTGGAAGACAAAATGAAAGAAGCCCAGGAAAAGTTCAAAAAAGCAGTCAAACATTTCGGAGAAGACCCTTCGAAGCTAACTTCAGATACCTTTTTCACAATTTTTGATACCTTTTTGCAAAACTTTGAGGAAGTACAAGCCGATCTCGTACGTCGCAAGCAAAGAGCCGAGGATGATTTGAAGCAAGTTGAACAAAGAGAAAAGCAAGCCGCGTTGAGTCGCAACAGAGCTTCGAGTTCAGTGGCGAAAACCAAAGGCGCTGGTGGTGGTAGTGATATGAACAAAAGTGGAGAGTTCGATGACCTTATTTCAGCTTTGCAAAGTGGAGATGTGTTCATGGAAGACCTAAACAAAATGAAAAGAGGAGGCGGGAGGAGGAAAGGAACTCTGAATCCGTCGACAGTTAATTTCCAGAGGGAGTCTCTAGGCGTGTGAAATCATTTTTCAAGATACTTGGAAAGCTGAAGAGGTTTTCGGAATGCTGATATGATTTTCGGAAGCTGAAAATAGTCTCAGATATAAGAATACATTTTCCACGAAATGCTGGGAGTTTCTCATTTGTGCTCTTTTGTAGACTCTCATTAGTTTAACCAGTCATCTGTCGTGACTTAACTTCATCCTCTAGAAATGACTAAACATAGATTTTTATTTTGTAAATCAGAACATATTTGTAGTTATTTATTTGCTGGCGGCAAAATACTAGGGTTCACCTTAGTTGTTTTGAAATATTTATTACTTAGAGTTAATGTTAAGATTGTCATTTTTGCCGTGGCTTTGGGAGCTTTGTATTAAATTACATTTGAAACCATTTCCCATTTAGTCAATAATTTTTGTGGGTTTATTTTACACTTTACCACGCGTAAATTTCTTGAACTTCATTTTCCAATTGAGTTATTTCCCATTCTATCCAATTTGAAACTTAATTCATTCAAAACACCAGCTGTTAGTTTGTCACCTTTGTACTTCATGTTTGACCAGAGGCAGTTTGTGTACATTTGTTGATAATTCGTCTGGAATGGAGCCCTTTCTGAATACGAACATACTTGTGATATAATATTTGGACCCAGCCAGATAAATAGATTTCTAAAGTTTTTCTTAAATTATCGTTTGAATTTAATTGAATTGTGAAAAAAAAATAAATGAATTCTTTTGTTACCTAAAAAAACTAAGTCGGTTTTTGAAACAATTATGCAAAGAGATCAAATTTCTTGAAACGAATCAAAGGACTTCGTTGATAGGAATCGAGCAAATGTTTATCCAGAAATGTTTTGTTTTCTACTTGAAACCTTCTGATTAGCTTAAAAAGCAAAAAAAGGAGAGACCAGTTTGTTCGATTAGGATTCTTTGTTTGATTGAAAGTTTTTAAAATTGTTCAATTCATAAGTGATTGTGTTATGTTAACACAAACCAGCTCGTGAGCGTGCTGTTATACGATGAGTCAATTTCATTAGAACGCAAGTCGCAAATTTTTGGGTTTAATTTTTGTGTTCTATTTAATGTAAAAGAACGAAATGATTCTCCCTCATCAAGATAGTGATATTTTTTCAGGAAAGTTTGTTTACGTTTAAACGCAGTTTTTGGTATTTTGATTTCTTTTTGAGTTCACTTCGTTTCCTTCGCTAAACGGAGAGTAAACTCCACTATCGAGCTGCAAAAGTTTTTAGGCCACGAAAAACGGTGATGTCTTCTAGTTTCAAAAATAGACATATATTTAATGTATTCCCACCGATATCAAAATTTTAATTTTGATGCAATTTTCTTGGGAAAACTTTAACAAAAAGTGCCCTTCATAAATCATTCGTGAGCTTCAGAGAGTTTTAACATGATTTTATTATTTCTTCAGTTTTTGGTTTTTTTTTATTTCTTTTACACTACTTTATCTGTTGGCTATGTTTTTTCAATCAACTATTCGTTTTTCTCTTTTTTTATACTTTTCAACCATCTGTTGGCTATGTTTTCTTTTTGCGGTCCCATTATTTTGCCGATTCCAAAAAAAGCATTAGCGTTTTCCGTTTTAGTAAGGTGCATTCTTTTCTGCCTGATATCTAGAATAAAATAAGTGTGAAAGTAGAAGCCAGGAACCCCCCGAGTAGTTGTTTAGGCACGTGACTTTTGGGATGAAGTTTTGAATCTGGTTTCCTTGCTATATATAATTCGCTTTTTTCAAGATACATATCGCTATTTTCAGGAAAAGTCTTTAAATTTGTTCAGGCTCAAATTTACTTTTTCGCAGTTTGACTTTTTATTGCCCTTTAAGTTCAGTTCATTTCCTTTGTTAAAAGGAAGTCAAACTCCACTATCTAACAGCAAAAGTGTAAAAGTCACTAGAAACCCGATCGACCTCTTAATTTGATAATGGAATTTAATTATCAGGTTTCCCAGCGGGGCTCTTTTCCAGTCCCCCCCCCCTTTCAAAATCAATTTTGAAAAGCTTATATAACATTGTCATATTGCAATGAAATTTGGCGTGGAACAAATCGACAATTGTGAACAAATTTGTTCTTCATACTTTACAGCGTAACATCACGCATTTAGCCGTAATAACACATAAAACTCGGTGTTTTGAAAGGGGGGGGGGGAACTGGAAAAGAGCCCCCAGCGGAATAAAAAAAAATTACCTATTGATCCAGTTTTCTCAAATTGGGTTAATTTTATCGAAAAAAAGTCTATCATAAATTATTCTGGAAATTCAAAATTGTTTTAAGGGCATTCCAAAGAGTTTTTTTTTCAAAAACAAGTATTTTTTTTCTGGTTACTTGCTTTCATTGGCTCTTTTAGAACTGCCGTTTGGCTATCTTCTTGCTTTTTACCTGTCAGCTGATTTTACAGCTGATACCTGACAGCTGTTTTTGCGTTTTGTTTTGCTTGCAAAATACTGATTTGCCTCTGTGGACTGGTTTTTCATGAGTTTTCGGAAAACTGACCCAGTAATTTACTATGTTGAACAGTGAACAGCGATAAAGAGTCCTTCAAAAAAAACTAATTAACTTACTGCAAAACCAGACGAAAGTTTCCCACTAAAAAACCAGACGAATGAGTCTTCTTAACTACAAAATGAGACGAATGTTTCTATTTCTAGACACAGAAATGTTTGCAGCTCGAATCACGACTGAGTTGGCTTTATTATGATATAACGCTCATCGAATAGATACTTAAATGCGGGCTTCACTATCTCGCCTTATTTGAGCTTTTTCAACGGATTATTTTTGCATATTTAAGAATTTATGCACGTTTGAGCTATATCGTATATTGCAATGATTAAGAAATGTTTTCGATTTTCAGGCTTAAATTCAATTTTTTTGCCAAGTTTGAAAATAGCAACCCAATAGTGGGATGCTGTTAGTGCTATCTTAAAGGTTGCACATTGGGCATCCAAGTATGAATATACAATTCTATTTAGTTTACGAGATACGAAGATTCTTGTGATTTTTTCGAAAATTTTCATAAAGTAAAAATTTAAGATATGTTATTTTTATCAGAAAATTTAGATTTAAAAAGTTTCACGAAGTCTGAAATTGCCAACTCTGTAGTCTGGTGCTGTCGAGGTTCTCTCAGATGTTGAAGCGGGGGGTTTTCTGGGTACACTTAGAGACTGCAGATCTTGCCTGCAAGTTTGATTGCTCAAATCATCTTAGTTTTTGAGATATGCCGTTTAAATGGTTTTTCAAATTTTTCCAAAAATTTATGATCTAAAATAATTTTCAAGTTCGAAATACACAACACTATGGCGGGATGCTCTCAAGGTTTTCTCAGAGTGTTCGGACTCCAATTGTGACTGCTCAATGCCTCTTGCTTTCTTAGATATGACGTGTTTATCTTTTTTTTTATGATGCTCAAATTGTTATTTTTCAAATAGATTTTTTTCAAAATTTGAAAATGTCGACCCTTTGGTGGGGTGATGTCAGCTTAGTCAAGTTACTACCAGCAGATGCATATGTGACCTCTCATCCCGATTCTACTGCTCAATTTTTTCTGATACTTTGTCATATGTGGCCTCTCAATGCAATTCTTTGGCTCAAATTTTTTCTGATATCTATCTATCTATATCTATACTATATTTAAATGCGAGTGACAGCTATCTCACATGTTTGTTTAAGCATAATAATTTTGCAAGTGCCAATAATAATTTCTCGCCATGCTTAAGCTTTTTCAATGTATTATTTTTGCATGTTTAAAAGAATTTTTTCACGTTTAAGCTATATCGTATATTGCAACGGTTGATTTTTTTTTTCGATTTTCCAGTTTATTTCAGGGTTTATTTCATCAAGTTTGAAACTAGAAACCAAATATATTAGAGAAATGTCAGAGTTTTCCCAGGTTTTGCGATTCTGGCCTCCATATATGCATAACCAAATCCTTTTAGTTTACGAGATAAGCAATTTTCGAGATTTTTTTGAAAAATTTCTAGAAAATTAAATTTTGAAATTTTTTCAGTTTTTGAAATTCTATCCCTGTAGTTGGGTGCTGTCAGGGTACTCTAAGGGGTGGCGATTCTTGCCTCCAATTCTCTCTTCTCAAATTCTTGTAGTTTTCGAGATATGACGTTGGAGATCTCAATCCTGTTGTTAGATATTGTGAGGGTACTCTCAGGGATTACGAGTATTGCTTCTAATTTTGGCTGCTCAAATCTTTGTAGTTGTCGAGATATGACATTTTTTTGGATTTTTTCAAGTTTTTTAAGAAAACTTCGATAAAAAGAAATTCACAAAACTTGAAATTATCATCTCTGTAGTGAGGTTCTGTCAGGGTACTTTCAGGAGTCGCGAATGTCGCCACCAAATATGACTGCTCAAATCCTTGTAGTTGTCGAGATATGACGTTTTTTATGATTTTCTCGGAAATTTTCAAAACACTTAAATGTTAAAAAAATTCCAAAACTTTGAAGATCTCAATCCTTCGATTGGAATCTATGAGGGTACTCTCAGGGGGTTGATTTTCTTGCCTCTGATTATGGCTGCTCAATTTTTTGAGCTTTTCGAAATATGACTTTTTTTTACGATTTTCAAAAATTTTCCGAAAACTTACGTATAAAAATTTAGCAAATTGGAAGTTATCATCTCTGTAAGGAGGCTATGTCAGGGCACTCTCAGGAGCTGCGAATGTCGCCACCAAATATGACTGCTCAAATTCTTGCAGTTTTCGAGATGTGACGTTTTTATGATTTTCTCCGAAATTTTCAAAAAAAACTTAAATGTTAAAAAGTTCCAAAATTTTGAAGATATCAATCCTGTTATTGGAATCTGTGAGAATACTCTCAGAAGTTGCGATTTTTGCCTCCAAAAGGACTGCTCAAAACCTTGCAATTTTCTAGATATGATGTTTTTTTGTGATTTTTTCAAACCAATTTTCATGAAAATGAAATTAATTTTTTTTTCAATGTTTGAATTGCCTAACCTGTAGTTGGGGTGCTGTTGTAATCTCAGGAGTTGCAAATTCGGCCTTTAATTGAGAATGCTCAAATCATTTTTGTTAAAGAGATACAACGCTTTTGTGATTTTTTTTGAAAATTTTCAGAAAACTCAAATTACAAATTAATTTGTTAAAGTGAAATTCGCAACTTGTAATTGTGTACTTTCAAAGATTGCGAATATTGCCATCAAAAAAAGACTGCTCAAATTTTAGTAGTTTTTGAGATGTGAATACCTTTTTCAAAAAACTTAATGTGAAGTTTCTCCAAAATTTGAATTATCCAACGTTGTAGTTGGGTACTTAACGAGTACTCTCAGGAGTAGCAAATCTTGCGTCCAACTGCGACTGCTCAATTGTTTCCAGTTTCCCAGATGTGACGTTTCTTATTCAATATAAACTTAGATATAAAAAAATGTCCAAAATTTTAAAGATTTTTCAAAGTTTCAATTTAAAAAACGAATGAAAAACTTAACAAAAATTGAAGTAAGTCTCAGGAGTTGCAAATCATGCGTCCAAATGCGACTGCTCAATTGCTTTTAGTTTCCCAGATGTGACGTTTCTTAGTTCATTTTAATTTTTTTGAAGAACTTAAATAAAATTTCACAAAGTTTTATGGTTCTTCAAAGTTTGTATAAAAAACTTAGCAAAATTTGTAATAACGAACCCTATTATTGGGTGCTGTCAAATTACACCTAAAGAATAGTTTTTTGAGTTGTTGAAAATTTGAAGCACCTGAGGTGCGCTACGCGCTAGTTGCTCAGAAAAGAGTCTGATATTTAACAATAAATTACGCTGGATTATGAATCTTATTTATGAATTTGATGATTTTACAATTGAATTTGTTTCAAGTTTTGAAATCAGAAGCGTTTTTGGAATCCCCTGATTTTTTGCGCTTATATTTATTTCGCTGTATTTCCATCTATTATATTTAAATGAGGGCTTCTATATCTCGCCATGTTTAAGCTTTTTCAACGTCTTATTTTTGCATGCTTAAAGAATTTTTTTCGATTTTCCAATTTGAATTCAGTGGTTATTTAGCCGAGTTTAAAAACAGTAGCCCAATAGTGGGATGCTGTCAATGTTCCCCCAGGGATTGCAAATGTAGCTTCAAATTATGAATGCCTTAATCCTTTTAGTGTACGAGATATGTTTTTGTGATTTTTCATAACTTTTCAGAAAACCTAATAAGTTTTGTTTTCAAAATTTAATTTTCCCAACCCTGTAGTTGGGTGCTGTCAGAGTACTCTCAGGAATTGCGAATCTTGCCTCCACTTAGGACAGTTCGACCCTTTTGTAGTTTTCGAGATATTACGTTTTTTGTGATTATTTCAAAAACGTTCAGAAAACTGAAATTAGTTTTTCTTTTCAAAATTTGAAATTGCCAACCCTGTAGTTGGCGGCAATACAGTACTCTCAAGGGTTGCGAATCTTGCCTCTAAATATGACTGCTCAAATCCTTGTAGTTTTCGAGAGTTGATGTTTTTTTGTGATTTTTCTAAAAGTTTTTCAAAAAAAATTAATTAATTTTTTTTCGAAGTTTGAAATTCCCAACCCTGTATCGGGTGCTGTCGGAGTACTCTCAAAAATTGCGAGTCTTTGCTCCAAATATGACTGCTGAAAGCCTTGTAGTTATCGAGAAATGACGTTTTTTTGTGATTTTTTCAAAAATTTTCAGAAAACTTAAATTAATTTTTTTGAAAAAAAAAATGAAAATCCCAACTCTGTAGTTCGGCGCTGTCAGAGTACTCTCAAAGATTGTGAATCTCACCTTCAAATATGACTGTTTAAATCCTTGTAGTTTTCGAGATATGACGCTTTTTGTGGTTTTTAAAAAAAAATTCTGAAAATTTAATGATTTTTCACAATTTGAAAATCCCAACGCTGTAATTGGGTGCTGTCAGAGTACTCTCAGGGATTTTGAAATTGCCTTCAAATCTGGGTGCTCAAATTCTTGTATTTTTTGAGAGATGACATTTTTTGTGATTTTTCTAAAAGTTTTTCAGAAAAAAAATAAATAATTATTTTTTTTAAAATTTGAATTTCTCAACGCTGTAGTTGGGGGCTATAGAGTACTCTCAGGGGTTGCGAATCTTGCCTCCAAATATGACTGCTCAAAGCTTTGTAGTTATCGAGAAATGACTTTTTTTTGTGATTTTTTCAAAAGTTTTCAGAAAACTGAAATTAAATTTTTTTTTCAAAATTTGAAATTGCCAACCTGGTTCCAATATGTGCAGTTTTATGAGTTGTCAAAAATTCGAAGCACCGGAGGTGCGTTACACGCTAGTTCTTTGTAAGACCAGAAATTGAGTTAAAAAACATGAATTAGCCGGTTATGAACAATAATATGAACAAGACTAGCCAGTTACTGTGCAAAAAGCACTGTTGTTTTTCCTACGACAGTCCACTTTGGAAATAAAATAATAAAAAGCGAATTTTTCAAAAAGGAAATGATCCATTTTTATGCTGTCTCGCGTTCAAAATGAAATTAACTAATAAGTTAAACAGTAAAAACAAAAACATTGTACTCACAATGCTGTAGATATTCCTTTAATGAGCAACTGAATTAATCCTTTCTGTGCTCTTCATTAGTTTCAAAGATATGTTTTTAACGGTTGTTCTCGACTCTCAAATCATTTTAGTCGCAAAAAAAAATTTAGCGGCTGCAAAAAAATTTGATTTAGTACCCCGCTTGAGCTGGTGTGACGTTCTGATAGCTGATACGTAGAATAAAACCACAACGAACATAGAAAGTTTTCATTTTCATTGAGTGGAACCGCATTTCAAAAAGGTCGCAGCTATTTTGTAGAAAGAAATGAAAAAATAGTTTAAAAAACCCGGGTTCAAAGAAGTGGCCAATTTTGGAAGTTATGATGATGGAAGAAATAATGGAGTAAGAAATGGGGTATTTTAAGCGAGTACGCGGTTAAAAGTGTATGAAGGGTCAGTCAGTCAACGTTTTTAAAGCCCAGCTGTCGTAGTTTTATCTCCTTGAATAGAATAGAGATTTTGGAAAAGTTGTATTTCAGGCTTATACATGTGCTGGGATGTCCACTGTTGTAGCAGTGAAAGGAAAAAGAGCAGAAGCTCCTATTAAGTCCGAATTTATTATTGAGAAACCCGAATTGCCTCCACCAGATAAGAATTTTGAAAAAGAGAAGGAGCCAGAGGGTGCAAATGGAGGACCTCCACCTTCGAAAAAGGCGAAGAAAAACAGGGGTCAAAATAAACAACGAGACTTCTTCATGGTGCAACAAACAAGAAAACCATGTCCAAATTTATACACAGTTGAGAAATGCTCATATAAAGACTGTAAGAACTTGCATACAGATGATGAGCTAAAAAGTTATCTGGACAGTAAACTGCCAGATGTCTTTGAGGAGTGCCCGGTGTTCAAAATGTCCGGATATTGTTCATCAGGGTTAACATGTCGTTTTGCAGGCTCACATTTGGATGGCCTAACTAATATTTGTAAACATGGGTGCATTGTTAAAGCTGAAAAGAATGGGCATCCTATAGATATTATATTTGAAGTTTTGAACCCTGAAGGGAGCGAAAATGGCAGTGTTAAAATCGAAGGCAGAAACACCGAGACGTTAAATGGGTCTGTAAAAAACGAGACTCACGAATCATCATTAAATGAAAACGGTGACCTTAAAGCAGAAAAGGGTGACATAAAAGAAACCGATAATACTGAGAATTTGAATGGAAATATGACAAGAGAAGCTGAAAAGACGTCAGCAACTGAAAAATGTGAAACTTTAGGTGGTCACCTTTGCCTTGAGAAAGTTTCGAAGCAGTTCAAAAATGTTACCCCTCGACCTCTGCTGCAGAGTCTGAGAAAGGGAAAAGTCCCATTACCGAATACAGAAGACTATATGAGGAGAATCAAAAAGGAAAAGGCTAGAATAGATCCAAATCATGAAACGGTAAGTAAATGTATTGTCGAAAATTTGCTCTTATTGTTTTCTTTAAATCTTGATGATACTGCAAAGCACTAACAGATCAGCTCAAAAAGTAAACGATTTTGTTATCGAGTTTATACGGTCGCCTTATAAGCATCTCTGATATCCTTAAATCTATCGATTATTCCTTTTTGGGAACCGCCTGTTCTTGATGTTCTGTAGCAATTGTTAAGTTGAACAGATGTCTGTTTAGTACGACTTCTTGGAGCTAGATGACCATCAAGACGTCAAACTCAAAATTGAAGAGATCAAAAAGGTTGACTTCACAGACAAACTATACCTAGCTCCTCTCACAACAGTCGGAAACCTTCCCTACAGACGCGTATGCAAACTACTCGGTGCTGACGTAACTTGCGGAGAAATGGCTTTAGCCGATGACGTAATAAAAGGTGGCTTCTCAGAACATGCGTTGCTTCGCCGCCACGAAAGCGAAGACCTGTTTGGCATACAGTTGTGTGCTCCGAACGTCGACCAAATTGTAAAAGCGGCTGAATTTCTTGGAAATAAGGATTACTATGAAGTAGACTTCATTGACATCAACATGGGGTGTCCGATTGATTTGATTTATCAGAAGGGAGCAGGTAGTGCTCTTATTTCACACCCCAGAAGAGTGGTCGATATGGTGAATGGAGTAATGTATGCTTCTGGACTGCCCTGCACTGTGAAATTGAGAACAGGAGTCAAGATGGACAGCAATATTGCACATAAAGTGATCACTAGACTGAGGAAAGAGACCAGGGTGAATTTGATCACGCTGCATGGACGCAGCAGGGAACAAAGGTGAGTTGACTTCAACATTCATTTTGATCTAAAGAATGTCTTACGTTGTTTATACTAATAAGTTATTGAGGAGTTCGAGAGTTAATGTAAAATTTAAGTTGTATAGCTAGAGTATTATTAAAAGGCTGCAGTACCATTTAGTTTTTTTTCAGGTACACCAAATTAGCTGATTGGGATTACATCAATACATGTGCGCAGGCAGCCAATCCAGTTCCTCTTTTTGGAAACGGAGACTGTTTCTCTTTCGAAGACTACCAAAACGTCAAAACAAACCACCCAGCAATAGCCGGTGTCATGATGGCCAGAGGTGCTCTTATCAAACCTTGGCTCTTTACTGAAATTAAAGAGTCGAGACATTGGGACATTAGTGCTTCTGAACGTTTAGACATCTTGAAGAACTATGTCAAGTTTGGCCTCGAACATTGGGGTTCAGATGATATTGGGGTTGAAAAGACGAGAAAGTTTTTGCTAGAATGGGTCTCCTTTTTGTGCAGATATATCCCAGTTGGGTTATTAGAAGTGTTGCCCCAGAAACTGAACGAACGTCCGCCGAACTATTTCGGACGTAGTGATTTGGAAACTCTGATGGCTAGTACTGATTGCAAAGATTGGATCAAATTGACTGAAATGCTGCTAGGTCCGGTACCGGATGGGTATTTCTTCATACCAAAACATAAAGCCAACTCTTTCTCTTCATAAAATCAACGTAATAGAGAATTTTATTTATGATACATAAATTAAATTTTGTTGTGATTTCGGTTTTGTCCAGATAATATTGGCTTTGTTATTTTACACGCGTTCTTTGTGGTCAAAGTTTTTTGAGAAGTGGTGGGAGCTTGATAGTTAATATGGAGCGATAGAATAGTAAGTATCTATATAAGTGGTTTTTCTTTCAGACTTGTATAGCTTGTTTTCGAATTTTTATCAACTCTTCATTAAAATCAGACCAAACAATGTCATCGTTTTACGTCGTGGACACTGACAAAAGACCGACAATGGAACAGCTGCATAGATTATTAGCAGAAAATACCCAACTTCTGCGACTCATGAGTGAGTATGGAGGCGGCGGCAAAGGAACGGCTCATGATGTCTATCTAATCCAGCAAAGGCTCCACAGGAATCTCATAGTTCTAGCTGAGTCTTCTAAACCGGAACACTGGAAAGAGATAGCTGATCAAAAAATGAACATCGGCAATGATTTTGATTGAAAACTGTGAAGACATTTTCAAAATGGGAGGAGACGACAATCGTTTTATTGGGACTTGTAAACAAGACGTGTTTTTGGGTTGAATGGGCGTGAATAAAAGGGCGAGTCTAGTGAAGCGGTAAATCTTGCCCGAAAAGTTTTTTTTCAGCTGCTGAAATCTGTTCCAAACGTTGATTTTTCTTTAAAAAATAATAATAGCCTTAAGGCTAGAATTTCTAATTAAATTCTGAAACAAGGACTTTGGGGTGATAGTCATCAATCCGCTTCTTGAAGCATTGGAACCTGATCTAAACTATATTTTATGATTGGATAAATTAAATGTTTTACCAATGTAAAGTATTTAATATTAACCAATCATGATCCATCTAACTAACAACCCACTTATTTGTAAGTGCTGAAGTTACTTGTAATTTCAGCACCAGAGAGATTTGAATTTAACTTAGAAATTAGTTGGACTCTCCTGAGCACTTCAGCAGCCGCAATAAACCAGTATACCCTAGATCTATTGAGCCTAGCAGAGACTAGTTAAACAACCTGAGACTAGATAGTATAAGAGTAAGATTAGGATCGGTATTAGACTAAGAAGTTGCACGAATCTATCCGGCCGAAAATAAGATAGCGTGACGAGCAGACGGTGTACCCTATCCGAAATTACTCTATGAGTTACACTTCGGTTCTAACTCATCTGGTGCGACCATAAGTCTCGAACAAGACCTTATTAGATTAGAATTAACCAAGAATAGATTAGAAATTAGACAAAAACATTTACAAAATGTTATACGACAATAATTTAATTGAAATGTCTCTCCGACTCAATAGATCAGAGCCAATATTCCGAACCATAATAGAACTACCCGGAATTGGAAGAAGACATCGAACCAAAGACGACATACGACAAAGTAGAAACTTGCCGTATAGTTATATGATAGTTCGGCAAAAGCCAGAACAAACTTTTATATTTCGAATACTACTTGCAATGAATTTAGATTTCCATTTGCAAACATAAAACCTTGAAGCTAATCTTCAAAATCATTTCAGGCGCTAAACAAAATTAATATTATACAATAACGATTGATAAAAAGATCTAAGATCGTTTTCTTAAAATTCTGCAGTATTATACAAAACATGTTTGAAAAATATTTATTGGAAAATAAAAATAAAAATTAGTAGCATGACAATAAATGGTTAGTAATCATAAATCATCCTGTTGTTCCAGCTTCATCACCTAAAACATAACAGCAATCATCAAATCACTAATATCATCAAAACACTAAATCTTTACTTTACACAAATTAAAACATTATTAAAACTTAAAGTCACTTAATTTTAAAAACCAGATCATCAAGGCTTATCCTTGGATCTTAAATCATTTCCTACTTAATAAAATTTCAAACTTGATCATCAAGGCTTATCCTTGGATCAAACAGAACAACTTTGTTCTCCCCCACCCACTTAATTAGTGTCTAACGACCTCAAACGTCGATTCACTACCCAACCCTTTCTAAAGACCCAAGACTAATAGAAATTTTTAAACAAAACTAATCATTCAAATTAGGATAAGCAGTGAAGAACTTCGGTTATTCATCCTTCACTTGACCCCCCCTCTTACCAGACCCAGGATAAATCTTAGACTTAGTAAGTTTAAAATAGTACCTAACGAACTACTCGCGTTCTAATTATACCTGAACCTTGTGGATCGATTTACTATTCTCCAACCCTTGAACACAAACACTCCCTTAAGTAAGATTAAGTAAGTTAACACCTTAGCTTATACTAGTCACGAGAAAGTAAAATCATTCTTCGGAATCGATATACCTTTCTCTCCAACCCTGAACAAAAAGACCCAGGTTAAGCTAACCAAAAAATCGTAAGAACTAACAGTTTAAGAAAATAGAAATCATTTAACAACCTTTTGCATCCGTCATCCTAAACCTTATGTCATTTAAAAACCTAGGAAATAAACAAACAATCATTTTACACAATTGTGAAATAGATAACAAAAAATACGACCTTGTAATCACACCTCATACACAAACAGTTGGATACATTCGCACAAAACGACAAACACTAAAGAGAAAAATAATAACTAAACAAAGACAAATAACACGAAAAAGATTTTCAAAGAATCGAAACGCATTTTCAGAATCAGAAACCAACAGTTTAGACGAACTTTACAAACTAAAAGAATCAGTAGATAAAAATTACCCACTTCACGATCAATTATATTTTTCTGACTCAGAAACAACCTCAAATTCATCACAAAGAGGAAAAAGAAGAATAAAAAAGCAGTACAAACACAAACCAGTACATCTATACAATTGGAATCAACCAATTCGACACATTAATAATTACATATTAACAGTCATCGAACGAAAAAATGAGCTCAACACACACTCCAGGTGAAGAAACTCCAGATGATGATGAAATCTTTCCCTTTATAGTAGACGCAGATACTGATAGAGGACAACACTTATTTTGTCAAAATTTACTCATAAATTTATTTGAACCCGGAATTAGTCCATGTAAAACAGAGTTCCCCGATGTAAAAATCAAAAGACAAATCATAGATCACTATCTAAAAGATATATGCAACATAACACAACAGTATGGAATCTACTCTATAGAATTCACTTCCCCAAACCATAATAATAGAACATATACTATTCAAACAGACGATCTCGATTTAGAATTTTCAAAAGTCTTTTCAGAATATATAAAAAGCATCCAATACCATAACTCACAAAGAGCAAACTCCATTTTCACCAATGAAGTTTTCGCAATAATATATAGTTATATTTCAATATTAGAAAATGAACTACCATTAACAAATGTCTCACCGACAGACACATCTAAACATTTAAGAGTACGACATGAAATCACACTACTCTCTAGTTATTTGAACGTCATTAAAGAAAATTTCACGAAAGACGACGTTTCACAACATACCAGACACGATTTACAAAAAATTTTAGCATGGTTCATAATAGATTATTTCACACACAATATTGATTTAATTGCACAAGCAAGAAAAAATTTTAGACCCCAAAATCCGAACGATGAAACCGCTATCACAGAACAATCAGATTATGTTTGGGACCCCGAATGGTCTCATCCCGCATTTATAAGCTTCCCACAATCAATCTCAAGTCAAGCAATAGGTACAATATCTTACATAAGAGACTATGTAAGAGTAATACCATTAACAATTGATGCAACACCATTAAACTATAATACATTTTTACCCGATACACAAAATAATAGTTTAAACTCTACAGTCATACACAATGAAAACCTCAATGGAACTAGGGATCTTACTCAACAAGATATCCAGACACCATCACACTTCATAAATGAAGAAATTGTACACACAACAACTACACAACAAAGTATTTCACCAATACGCCCAAATTTAACAACACCAAGAAATACAAATCCTTCACAAACACAGGTAACTTTACAATCAACCGTAAAACCTTCGGTTGCCCCTAAATATTCACATATGGATTATCAAACATACAAACCCGTGACAATACCATCAAAAACACGCAAAACATTCACTAGAAACAACTTTGCAGACCATAATTATAATTATACACATCCGTCAAAAACAAATTATCAACCACAAAGGAATTTTAATCAATATACAAAACCTCGAAACTGGGATAACCCAACAGCCCAATATAATTCAAATAATTTTCAACCAAATCCTCCACAGGATCGCAGTGAAAATTACCCATTTTTTCAACAAAATAAAAATAAAAAACAAACATCTTATCAAATGGATTATTTATCCTCAGATGAAGATTTCCTACAACCAGATATATTTGCACAAAATACTCAAGAATATCGTAGACAAGGAATACAGAAAACACGTATAAATCATAGGAATTTTTCTCCACAACCAAAAAATGCACAACATCAACAAGCAATTCAACAACAAAATCCAATTAATACACAATCCTTTCAACCAATTCAACAACAAAATCCAATGATTGCACACTCGTATCAACCATCACAAATGCAAAATGAAATACCACTACCATATTATCTTCAACAACATGAAATAACAAGAAACCAACTTTCAAATTTTTCTCAAATGCCAAATGCAGCAGAATCATTACAAATGACAATGAATCCATACCTTATGGGTGGATCATCAATAACATCAAACAAACCTTTAATGGTTTTCACAGGAACAGACCCTGAATACTCTGTAGAAGATTATTTAAATGCAGTAACAGCAAACCTGATTTTAAATATCGGACCTGAACCAATAAATACGCCACTACATCAAAATTGGATACATCGACGCACAGCGTTAATACAAACAACCTTAGATGGCGCAGCCCAAAAATGGTTTTCAGTACTACCTCTAGAAATAAAATCAAACTGGAAAAGATTTACACAAGAATTTTCAAAAATGTTTGACTCCGAAAGAAACAAACAACAACAAAGAGTTTTATGTAATGAAATTCGCAGATTACCAAACGAAACCATCAAGCAAATAGCAGTACGAATCGAAACACTAGTTCGAAAAGCATACTCA